CACGGTTCGAGGCTGGGCCTTCCTACATTCTAAGAAAAAAAATGAAATTAATACATGATAATGATGTTTAGTGGCATTTCATGATGTGTTTTTTGATTGCACGTCCTTCATGTGTATGCGTGGCTTCCCTGATTGATTAATGGCACCCAAGTGATGCTAGGATTTCAAAAAAATCTGGAATGCAACAGTTTTTGCGCTTGTATAAGAGTCGATCTGCCACCAAGCCTGAAACATATGTCGAGCAAGGCTCCAAGGAACCTTCCTGGTTTGTTCCTAAGAAAGAGACATACCTGGATCCTTCAACTGCGCAACATGTCTGCCTTTTCCTCTATAAAACCAGCCGAAAGGCAGCATTTTGCATATTTGGAAGATCCAGGTATTACAGATCAATCGATCAATCGGTCGCTCCTTAGGTCTCGTCATGCGTTTGGAGGGATCCGAAAGAGGCCTCCGAAATGGACTTCCAGTACCGAACTTCTGCAGTTTCCGATCCAAATGACGACCTTCTCGGCCTTCAATACGATCTGTCAGGAGCCACCCTTCAGCCAGGCTGATGAGGACAGGCTCTTGACCCACTTTGGGAACAACATCAATTTGCCGCTGGGCGAAAAGGGACAACTGCATGGGCGGTGGTGAAGGCACAGCAGGTCGGCCTTGGCGGAATGGGTGACGACAGATATGGTTCTTTTCCAATCACGACAGATGGGTTTGAATTGTTCAGGCCAGAGACGACAGAATGGATGAAGGAATGATCTGAGGGTTGGACAAAATCTATAGGTTTGGATAGGTTTGGGTCGACCCCCTCCCTGGAAGAGGAAAGAGGAACCCCGTATACGAGGTTCCAAGAGGTCGTCATAGATTTGGTGTGCATTATAAGGCATGGGGAGAATCCCGGTCGCAATGGGTGTCGCCATATCCACAGTCGAGTCCCATTTGGAAGTGGAATCCAATGAAAAACCAATGGCCACAGCATGATGGAATGACCAACATGAGGAAGCAACGCCCATAAATAAGTTGATATCATCTTACAGTAAGTACAATATAGTCTTCATTAGTCTTCCATAGTCTTTCCATAGTTTCCATGCTTCTTTCGACCTGATGTTCTGCAAGTGTGGGTTCTACCGATTCATTTCTAGCAAGAACTCCACCTGAGCGGATTTCACCATTGGACTGATTGGTGTGTATGTATAGTTAGGTAATTACGTATAGTTATAATACTACACTCCATACTTGCAGTGTCCGGGATGTGTTATGATGCTTCCAAGTGATGCCGTCCTCGTCCTTTTGTTCGGGAAACAGACGACGAGACGAACGACCACGACGACCACCCCGTGTCGACCCGACCGTCCGACGTCCTCAGGAACGGCACTGGTGCCGTCATCGCCTCCCCCGGCGCTTGCCCGGCCTTGAGACTCGGCGGAGTGGTTTCCCTTGGGACCAGGACTGCCAGGACTTGGTCGTTTTAGCTGATTGGGGTTGATGAACAACAGTTGAGACCCTGATGTAGACTCCTGAGTGATAAACCCTCCATAGGAAGAGGATGTCCAAATTGGAGGGGTTTAGTCATCAAGAGTCTACATTGTCAGCATCCTCCAACAGGTCACCAATTGAGACCTGTGAGGGATGCTGGCATAGACTTGTCCTTTTTTTTTGGCCTGGTTCCACAGCAAATCCAAGATGTGGTCCACGTGGTGCATCTTTATCTTCGCATTGTTCTGGCCTTGGTGTCAAATGCGTGTCCTGTCTGGAGACCTTTCGGTGCAGGCTTGTCCAGCCAGGTGACCCCTTGGAAGCAGCTGGTTGGTTTCCTCGAGAGGGGGGTTCTGCTCTCATGGCCTTGTGGTTTTCTGGAGAGGAGGACGCATACAAAAACTACGAGTTGGTACTGATGATGGAAGCAATCGTTGCTGAACCTGGGACATCACTTAAAACCAAATATCGCTTGGTAGACATCTAGTGTAGTTGGGTGTCAGGAACCGCAGATTCCAAGATCGTCCTTGCAACAAATGACTCCTCATCGTGATGAGACGCTCCGAAATGACCCTTCCTCGTAGTCTATTCTCTTCCTGTTCCGTTTGACGCACACCCTGTTCCGCCCATCTCAGTTTCATCGATCCACCCGGATCCAGCCGCATCCACCCGACATGAGGGTGGAATGCTGCAACATCATGGACAAGCAGCCCTATGGCTTCCACTGGACCCGCGATGCCTCGCTGAGTTTGCTGACCTACTTGGAGCACTCCAAGCACCTTGGCATTCCAAAAAACAATTGTGTTACACAAAATATATATATATATATGTATGTGCTTAGTTATGTGCTTATATATCATATACCTATACCTATAGATCTAAAAATCTTCCTTGTAGGCACAAATGTCCGCCAATAACATGATTTCTACTGACCCGTTTCCGCCCGAACGCCTAAGCTGCAGCCTCCAAAGTGCCGAGACACATGCGGGAGGCAGAGCCAGAAATCCACCCGAATGCATACCAAGTAACGGGTGCTTGCTGCAGCTACGCGCAAAACATACTAAAAGCATGAATCAAAAGCATATAGAAACACTATAACGACATGGCAAGTGAAAGATCAAGTGAATTCCTGATATACCAATGATTTTCATGTTGGAAATTCCTTCAACCAGTTACTGGGTGGATCCTTATTGACACCAACATAGACCAGAACGCTGTTGTTTTTTTAAAGGGGAGCTAGAACGCCTAGGGACGGGCAAAAAGGCGTCTTTTACCGGCAGAACTGGGTCGGCCCAAGAAGAAGTTCTGGGTCTGGAGACGTGCACGGCTTATCGCCGTGGAGGTCGTCGTGGAGACCTGGAGACGTGGGTAGAAGTAGTAGAAGGTTGCATGGATGTGGCTTTAGAGACCTTTTCAAACATCTCTATTTTTTGGGGGTGGATGTTCTAGTATGTTCTAGTCAGACCCTCAATTTGAGGCGCTAGTCGGGATAAACAGCACCAGCAAAAGAGTCAGACTACTACAAAGAGGTCCACCGGGCTATACCGGCACCCATAGGCTGTTTGGCCCTGTTTGGGTCTTTGAATCCCATAGATAGAGCAGTGTCTATTCCCCATTGCCGGCTCTCAGGCAGTTTTTGGAGGTTGAGGAAGGAGAGGCCTCCCTCCTCCAGGTGTGGATTGCGGAGAAGAGAAGACATGGTGTGTGTGGGAGAGATTACGTTCTTGGACTGAGATCAAAGCCGTAAAGAGGATAACTAATCCAATCTCGTAGAGTCGTAGAGTTTCTTGACTTTGATGGACTATCCATCCATGATGATTTTGTGCAACGCGATGTCAGGTGGGTGGGACATGCTGACAGTTTAGATTTCGATTTTGCTGCAGATGCTCTGCAAGACGCACTCCCAACTCCCCACAGATACCTAACCGATTTCAAAAAATCATATGACTACGAAATCTAGCTATACATGGTTCTACCAGAGCTGGTAGACACTTCTTGTATGGAATAGATGCCCACCTCGCCACCTTGGAGCCCTGACCCCGCATCGTCGACGCCCCGCGTCGTCAACGCCCCGCGTCGTCCTCGGATCAGACACACCGTGGAAAGAAGCAGAACACCATGTGCCTTAGTCAGCTGGACAGGGGGGTCCGGTGCATGGGTGTGGTTGGGTGTGCGTGGTTCTTCTTGGTAACCTGTGGAGACCTTCACCTGTGGGAGAAGGTGTTTTGCGACACATGGACACAAAAGGTGCGGAGACCTGTTTTGCTTACACAACCAGTTGACTGTGTGATGACTCACCGGATCCTGGATCTTCCAACTATGCAGAAACTGCTGCCCCGGACATCCACAGGGTTCCAGGACTCATACCTAGCTACTAGCCGCCTAGTCCAGCCAAAAGGGCCAACATCAACCCTGAGTTGTTGGGTGGGACAGGTTTTCAGGGTTCAAGATGCGTCACTTAAGCTTATAACATCTTATCGACATAATGTTAACTGTTGATCAATCTAAGACTACCTGGATTGTCCAACACATCCTAAACGTGGGGATTGATTGATCAGTATTGATTCAACGGGAGTCAATCAGTCAACTTGATCCACTGAAAAGGGAATGCCGATTTCCATCGATTTCCGGTCCAGTGGTCTTTGACGCCACTTGTCCACCTTGGATCCTAAGACTGGAGATCCAAGACTCGACTTCCACCCGCCAATCGCGCCCACTTGCGCGCCCACTCGTTTCGCCCACTTGCGCGCCCACTCGTTTCGCCCTCCACCGGTGCCATCGATCAAGGCGCGATGAGATCGAGCACAGCATCGATGCCTTCGCTGGTTGGGTGGAGGGCGTGCACGCCCGTAAGATGGCCGCGAACAACATGGGTGGCTCCACCAGCGCTGCCGAGGCGCCATGTTGTTCGTGTCCTTCGCGAGGGACGAGTTTTTGTCCTGTTTTGTAATATTTTGTCTATATACAAAATTCTAAAGATGCCAGCTCTGGGCTCTTGCTTTCATTTTCACAGGTGTGTTGAGACAAGTTAAGTCTGTTGAGATCCGGCCGAGAGATTGAGTCCTTTGGATTCTCGATTGTAAGTGATTTGCCGAGGCAACCCCCTGTCGAAACCGAGCTTTTCCAGCTCATCAACCAACTTTGGCATCCGACTTTAATAGCTGGTCCAAGTTTGATGGAGGTCAATGCATTAGCTGGGTTCAAACCTAGCCGTTTCTTGGTCAAACCTGGATGAGCAGTTGCAGATGGTCGGTTCCGTGTCTGGGGCAAACAGACCAGTGGCTGGATCCCAATGACTGGGCGCCTTGCAGGGGACCGGGCATGATAGGGTTCATGGGAGAAGTGAATTCGGTGGAGTGTGACCAATGAAACCCCGGTCCTGAAATGTCCTGAAGAACAATCTATTATTTTAAGTGATGTTGTATTGATCAACTTCACTTAAATTAAGGTCAAAACTGACCTGTAGAGATGTGTAACCACGACCTCTCGGAGCATCCCAGTGTCTCAATCGACTCAAGGATGGACTGCCGATGCTTCGGTGCTGCCAGGAGGCCTATTTGGAGCCCAAGTGGACCTTCGATGGCGAGCCTTATAAGGGTGGCTGGTGCCGTCCACAGACCGATGGACCCCGCAGGGGCAGTTTTGGGGGTGGCCTTGGCCTCGGCCTTGAAGTGAAGGAACATGGTTCATCCGAGGTCATTGAGGTGTTTGTTGAACTGACATGACTGTATCCCCCATCAAAGCTTCTACAGCGATGGATGACATACATCAGGATCTACTGAATCAATTTTATCATTTTCAGAGTTGGATTGAACTATATGTTAGCTCTCATTATTTTTTCAGAGATGGAATCCAATTCTCTATCCAATCTCCATAGACTTTTCAGGTCTCATCATTTATTGAATCCACAATCCGTCCAAAAATGCACTCGCCAGGTACTGTATCAACTCGCTCAGACTCGCAGACTCGCTGTTTCAACGGGAGGCGCTCGGTGGAAAAACCCAAACCGTGCGCAGGACCTCCTTTGCGCGCTCGCCTTCTGATGAAAGCCGCAAAGGTCTTCCCGCGGCATGGCCTGATGAGCCAGGTTTGAAGCAACACTCCTCGGGAGAAGAAAGAAGTATAGTGAATTGCAGAATTGCATGCATAAACTGAAAGCTTCCAACCTATCCGAAGTTCAGTATCCCAAGATTCATGCGGTTTTGACGGATACCCCAGAAGTCCCATACACTACGCGCGCCACAGGAAGTGCCCACTCGTGGGACGTCCCTGGAAGTGACCTATCGTTTGAATCCTGCTGTATTCCAGCACCTCCTAAAGAAGGGTTAGGTCCCTTTGAAAAAGGGTTAGACCCGAAGGGGTCTTTTTTTTTGGTGACCTGTAGAGTCGGGCGCTGGTAGGTGTCAATTCGGATTCTTGGGCTTCTAAGGAACTTGAAGGAGAGGCTTTGGCCATTGGCCAAGAAAGACCTGGATTGGCTCGTGGACAACTTTGCCATGAACAGCTGTGACTTGTGGGAGGACACAAAATCCGGCTGCGACCTGGATCCGGCTGCGACCTCGATTGTCAGTGTTTTTTTTTTTCGTGTGCTTCAGCGGGGCGCCTTGCGGAGTTTGATCGGCATGCTGGTGACTATCTATGCAAAAAAAATACATGTCGTTCTTGTGTTCCATGATTTGATGGCACCGGATCAGTCGCCCAATGAAGAACGGGCGGAATCGGCATGTTTTTCACCCGCTCAGCAGAGGGTCTTTTCGGAGGTTCGACTTGGCGCCGTCCGTTTCGGCGAAGCACGTGGCCTTCCTGGCCGAAAATCTGCACTTCCGCTTGACTGGCACAATGGCCCCTGATCCCCACCGTCTCCCAACGAGACCAGTGTGGGAGGAGACTCGGGATGATGACTTCGTGTGGAACCGCGTGGTGCAGCTCAGCGCCTTGGCGGAGGGCGCGGACTTCACCGAGAATCCCAACGACAAGCAGAGGCCCTGGGGGGGCATACCTAAGGTGGGGGGAGACCCAAATCATTTGAAGAAGGTGGAGCACCAGTCGTCAAATAATGTGGAGAATGGGATTTGCCTAATTTTTTCTTAGGAGGGATTGATTTGAGCTAATGGTGTGAAGAAAGGGAAGATGGTTGATTAGTAGTATACAAGAGTTTTTTGATTTATATAGAAGGTGGACCCTACTAGTTGAGTAGCTTGTTGGCACCCATTCTTAGAACATTGGCCGGAAGGTTTTGTTGAAGGTTTAGTATTGCAGGGAATCAATGGACTATACTATTCATGAGCTGACATTGACATTATATAGAATTGTAGTTATTTGATGTTATTTTGGGGGTCTTGACAGGGGAGATCTAAGTTTGTTGGGGTGAGGTGATCAGAAGGCTTTTACTTTTTTCTTGAAACTCCCCTGTCTTCTTTCCAGGTCCTAACACCTTTTTGGAGACGATCCACCGGTTCAATGGAGGTACTTGGACGCCATCCAGCAGAAGGGTGAGCCCTTGGCAAACCACATTGCCGGCGAGTCAGGTGCAGCCAGATAGTTGAGAGGCAGTATGATAAATAAGTAATATATATATATACATACTTGATTACCTGGAACTGCCTCAGTGTGTGTGTGTGTGTGTGTGTGTCAACCCCTGTTCCTAAGGGTTTTGGTTTCTTGCATACGGCTAAGTAATCACATGTCCACGTCTTGCAGCTAAGTATTCACAGGCCGGGCATTTACATCCTACCCCTGGGCCTCGTTGCTACCCCACCCGCTATTCGGGCAACAGAAGGAAATCGCACTCAACACACTTGTGTGTTGGTGCCTTTCCTATCTTTCCTTCTGTTTCTCCTAGCTATTGCTAGCTACCCGGGCGGTTTAAGACAAAATGTCCCGCTCGCGCTCTACTTTCATTTAACTAAGTGGGCCTCGTAACTACACCTATCTTTCCTTCTTGCCCTCTTAGTCTGCTTTTGTTTTGTTTGCTTTTTCTGTCTTTCTAAGGCTTTTTAGGTCGCTAGTAGTCTTCACAAAAAGCGCCAATATTGGCGCTATATGTACAAAGTTTTGCGACCGGTGGACACCAACGACGCTACTAGGGGCTTCTGGCCTCGCTACCAGGAGCCAGGACCTCTGACCTTTCTACAAGGTGTAAGGACGCTACTAGGGCCGCTGGCTTTACTACTAAGGCCTCCTGGTATCGCTACTAACTTACAGTCTCTCAACGCAGAAAAAAAAGAGGCAGGGGGACAGAGCTCTCTGATGCTACTCTGTCCAACGAAGCTATGCATGAGAGAGGGAAGCATCCACTGGCCAGGGATGTGTGCCTGCCGAATGATCAAGCTGTGACTCCACTTTCCACGTTTTTGGCTCATGGTTCTTCATGATACTCCCCACAAACTCTTCCCCACCACCGCCGCTTTGCGCCGTTCTGCAGCTGACAACATTGTTCAACAATACGGTTTTGCGGACTCATGCACCTTTCCGTTCCCTCACCTTCCTTCTCAGCGTGGGAACTGAGTGTAACTGAAAACCAATGTCAGAGTGTGTTTCGCTCAGCCGTCCCACTCGGGTGCTGAGTGTGATCCCCGTCACTGGGGCGCGGAATTCATGCCGGAAATCGTGTAACTGAGCTTTTCCACCTTTCACAGGAATTCACCACTTGATCAACCTTAACTGAATTTACTGCTTCCACGGCCGCCGGGCCAAAAAACGGGATGCATCGACCAGCTGAGTTCGTTCTGCATCGGTTTTGTTCCTTCATTTCATGCACCTAATTCGATATACTTTGAAAAAAGCGCCGGTACGGCGATTTGTGTGTGTCAACCCTTGTTCCTAAGGGTTTTGGTTTCTTGCGTACGGCTAAGTAATCACATGTCCACGTCTTGCAGCTAAGTATTCACAGGCCGGGCATTTACATCCTACCCCTGGGCCTCGTTGCTACCCCACCCGCTATTCGGGCAACAGAAGGAAATCGCACTCAACACACTTGTGTGTTGGTGCCTTTCCTATCTTTCCTTCTGTTTCTCCTAGCTATTGCTAGCTACCCGGGCGGTTTAAGACAAAATGTCCCGCTCGCGCTCTACTTTCATTTAACTAAGTGGGCCTCGTAACTACACCTATCTTTCCTTCTTGCCCTCTTAGTCTGCTTTTGTTTTGTTTGCTTTTTCTGCCTTTCTAAGGCTTTTTAGGTCGCTAGTAGTCTTCACAAAAAGCGCCAATATTGGCGCTATATGTACAAAGTTTTGCGACCGGTGGACACCAACGACGCTACTAGGGGCTTCTGGCCTCGCTACCAGGAGCCAGGACCTCTGACCTTTCTACAAGGTGTAAGGACGCTACTAGGGCCGCTGGCTTTACTACTAAGGCCTCCTGGTATCGCTACTAACTTACAGTCTCTCAACGCAGAAAAAAAGAGGCAGGGGGACAGAGCTCTCTGATGCTACTCTGTCCAACGAAGCTATGCATCAGAGAGGGAAGCATCCACTGGCCATGGGTGTGTACCTGCCGAATGATTTCAAGCTGTGACTCCACTTTCCACGTTTTTGGTTCATGGTTCTTCATGATACTCCCCACAAACCCTTCCCCACCACCGCCGCTTTGCGCCGTTCTGCAGCTGACAACATTGTTCAACAATACGGTTTTGCGGACTCATGCACCTTTCCGTTCCCTCACCTTCCTTCTCAGCGTGGGAACTGAGTGTAACTGAAAACCAATGTCAGAGTGTGTGTTTTTGTGCGGCGTGAAAAACATCTTTCGGAGTCACAGCCTTGTACTTGAGTTTGCAGATGTTTCTCTAGTTTTCTGATTGTTTCTGATATTCCACGGGCGCTTATGCACAAGCGACGGGGGTATATTGGTGAGCCGCGGGCGTTTGTGTTTTTCTTGCTGCGGATGTTTATGTGGCTCACAGACCTAAATGAAGGTATGTTGAACTACCAACAAAAAAGATACAACCACGAGGTTGCAGGTATAGATATACAATGGAGGATGATTGGGAGTTCTCCCGAGCACATGAGACTGGCCCCCTAAAGATAGTAGTGTGTACTGTAATGTCCCTCAAATTCCTTAACTATGCATTTGTTGTTCTATAGGACAACTACGTGTTGTTTTGCCTGAATAGGATCACATGAGTCGCGTTTAAAAACCGTTCCGACTGAGGGCAAGTTGAAGGGAATGCAAGTGGGACATTGGAAAAGGAAACTTGCTAAGCGGACAACCTTTGGTAAAAGGTCAAGTCATGTATAAATCCCAGTAGCGACACGTACCGAGCAGGCAGTGCAGGGATGGAAGCCGTACATTAAATCGCTTGCCGTCCTTTACTATAGTGTAAACACATCGGCATCGAGTGCTTGACTGTCAAAATGTTCAGTGTCCATGTTCGTGTGCGATCTCTTCTAAACATTAAATTCAAGCACGCCTCACAGGATTGTGCTGTATTCCTACTACTTTGTTCTACTCCCGTATATATGTCCAATTGCCAAAGATCCCACCCTTTGCTCCGAGTTTGGCCTTTTTGCTTTCACTTTCTCACCCCAGTCTTGGCGCCATGTCGACATGGGCAGGTGAGGAATACATCACCAACTGCCCGGCCTCCAACATGGGCGAGGACTGCGTCAGGTGCGCTGGACCGAACGACCGGACCTGCCGGTGTCGAGGCCAGGTGTCAGGTCGCAGAAACCGTCGTTCCAGACACCGTTCGTGTAAGGTGGTGGTGTGTACATCCCGGTGTGAATTTCCCCTACAGATAAGTGGGCCTTCAGGCCTTATAAAACGAAATTATAGTAATTTTTTAGCCTGACCTGGGTAACGTCGAGGCCTTCGTTATTGTAGAAATGGACGTTGTGCGAAGTAAAATGTATCTATGGCCTTGTGTTTTGTAGATGGAAAGATGTTCTGCATTGGGACGTCGTGCAACTCATTCTATAGAGAAGTAGTCGGAACCCCCAGAAAGTATTTTGTAGAGGATCTGTGTTAAAGGTGATGAGAGGAAAATATTCTATAGAGATTGAGATAACAGTGTCCTTTGTGTTTTGCCTTCCTGTTCACCGGAGCTTTTTCAAGGAGGCCCATAAAGAAGTGTGTATCAGCTCAGATGCAAAAAAGGCAACACGTAGGAGTTGATGGACAATGAAAAAGAACACCCATCGGCACAGCAGGCTACCAACCCTTGGGGATGGATGGTGCCAAGCGTAATGTGTGTGACAGACAGACCAGTGTGTGCAGAAGATGTCAGAATCTATAGAATGGCTGGGAGGCATTTTTGTGCTACAAACTGACACGGAATCGTCAGTTCTATAGAATACGTGTGGTCGATGCAACAAAGATAAAAAAAAATGTCTACAGAATACCTCGCACGACGTTTGGCTATCCGAACATCGCCCTGTCTACAGAATAAAATTCCAACGTCAGCCATGTCATCTTGCCAAAATCTCAAATGTTCAAAAACATAGTGTTTTTGCAATTTTCAATCTTGCAAGATAAAAAGGCCTTATGTCAGAAGGCCACTCATTCTGTAGACTGGTGGGGACCTCAGTTCAGCTATTCTGTAGACCTGGAGCAGGCAGGCCGGTTTTGTACCTATAGAATGGGGGCCCCAACCCTTACCCCTAAATTCACACGGGGATGCGTGTACGTATATTTAGGCTTATCCCATACACATGGAGTGTGTTTGGGTGTTTGGAATCGCATTGGCGTCTGCTGGCGGGAATGGTCTCGTGCTGCGGTCGTGCTGCTCCTGAGGTATGACAAGCAGTTGGATGGTGTCCTGATCTTGACCTTGATCCACGGACACCCCATGGTGGCCACGGATGCTGTGAAGCTCCCCAGCTTCTTGGCGCCTTGGATTCGTTCGTTTGGATGGACAAAAGGAGCAGGATTGGCTGGATGGGAGAAGATGTTTGGACGATGTTTCGATGACATGGCATAAAGAAGCTAGTAGGAACAAGTGCATCGCTTCTAGTAACAAGTGCCTTACTAGTAGTAACAAGAAGCTAGTAGTAACTAGTAGTAATTAGTATAGGCAGTGGTAGTAGATGACCACTGAGTCCATTCGCAGAGACCGTCCGGGGCGGTGCTTCTTCCGTCCCTGCGATCCGTCCGCCCCGGCGCCCCGGCTTGTTCGATGCCTTTGGCCAACGGGTTGGGACGGTTCGGTCTGTCCAGAAGTATTGCCTTCTTTCCAGAAGGGTCACTTTTGGGACTGGTCAGGGTCACTCTAAAGGTCACTGACAGAAGGATGGAGAGTCGCCACCATAGTGATCTTTCAAGTTGTGACCTTGTAAGAGGCGCTCAGTGACCTGTTCAGAGGCTCAAGTGACCTCAAGTCACCTGAAGTCGCTGGGATCTCAAAGGGTCACTTTGAAGAACCAGTGCAACATGTGCAAGTTTCTTGCCTTATATATAGTCTATATGGCCTGGAAGAGGACTTTCGGCTTTCAGTATTTTTTCATATTTGTCCAGGTTCCACTTGGTCCCCCAAAGAAGAACCTGCAAATAGAGCACTTAACAAGCTCTGTGTTCTTCCCTCAATTTCAGAAGCACTTCGACAGGAACCAGAAATGCCCAGACCATTCCGATGATCCGACATGCACATCATCAGCTCCAGCTCCGCTAGGGTTCTGCGTCTAGATGTGTTGAACATTCTGGAGTCTCCCAATGATTGATCAATCCTCCCAATATCCTCGCAATGGAAAAGCCTTTTCCTATGGGGTGGTTCATGAATCAAGAGTCTACATTAGGTGGTCTAGACCTTAGGCGGTCTAGACCTTAGGTGGTCATCAAGAATCAAGAGTCTACATTAGGTGGGTTCCAAATCAGTGAAGTCAAGTCTTGGTCTGGTCCAAGGATGCGAAAGTGGCCAACACCGTGAAGCAGCTGTGCTTGGTGTGACTCGGTTTCAGGTGATCCCAGGCAAAAGCGGCTTTTTATCAGAGTGGGTAGTCCCCAAATAGATAGTGAGACTAGGGTTTCCAATAGGACCTTTTGGTTGGGTGATCTATATACTTTTCATTACTTTCTATCTGTTTGGGGGTCTATATCTATGTATATACAGTATACACAGAGTCTACTCATTTTTGATCCCTAGGTGATATGTCTGCCATGCACGATAGACCATGATAGATGATTCAGGTCAATGACTCATCTTCGACACCACATCAGTCGACGTCCTTGATTGGATAGAGAATTGATGGAACATATTTGATAGCTTTTGGATGCTCTTAATCTCTCAGCATCATCCTTTGGAACAACTCTGGGCGGTGAGGCGTAACTTCGGAAGGGGGGATGCTGCAGTCCTGCAGGTCGATACCAGCTGTGGCTGTAAATCACTGACGTACGACCAGGTCTTTCGCATCCGGTCGACCAGGAACAAGTTTTGACGGTTGACCCATGTTGAGATCTAAGGAGAGTTGATGAGACCAGGCTGACTTGAAAGTGCCCTGTGAACTTTCTGACCGATTGACAGAAGCCCAGGTTCTGCAAGAGCTATCCCATCAACACACAGGACACCGACGCCAAGGTGCCGGGCGTGCTGCTGGGCCGCTACGAACTGGATCACTTTGGCCACCAGAGCCAAGGAAACCCTTGGGCCGCCTGGGCCGCAAGCCGCCGACGTCGGGGTCTTGCAGTATATGGACATTATAGGACTATATACAGGAAAGATGTACTGTATATATGAATGAGGAGTGGCTGATGGTCTGGACTCCAGGTGCTGGACTGGTCGCTTATGGTCGCTTGAATGTAAGTCTTGAGAGTTGAGAACTAGGAGTCCAATTCCCGTAAGAAGGCACTGTGTCATCGCCACCTTTGAAGACATAACTCTTAAAACAGTTCAAAGCAGGACAATCAGGACTGAGGGATACTATCAGAACAAATTCTATACAACCCTATGAAGCAATAGATCCCATGAGAAGTTGATCCACGAAGCCCCCCCACCTCCTCCTGTGGTCTCCCTGGTCTCATGGCTCCGGCTCTGCTCGGCGTCCGACTCGAACCCCCGGCGCCCAAGGTCCTGATCACCGCGTCCTTGGCGAACCTCCTCTACAAGGTGCGTTTCGCTCGCGCGCGCTCGCTCGGTGGCGGATCGCCGGTTTAGCGGTGTAGACGGCCATGGACCATTTAAAACCAGTGCTGCTTGAGAAGAAAGCACGAAAGGGGCATGTGACTCACACATTGTTCGGTATGCGGCGGTGGTTGGTTTTTTCCCGCGCTTTTGGGGACCATTTGTTCCCTGCGCAACCGTGAGACACCGATGGTTCCACCTCTCTCCCGCGCTTCGCTCGCCTCGCCTTCGTCCGAACTCGGTTTGAGGCGGCAGCTGAAGTGAGCCAAGGCGGAAAGGCAGACCCAGCTTGGGCGAATGTCTTCCAGAACTCCAAAGGGGACTGGTGGCACTCAGGCGGGGGCGGCACCTCTTTGCGCATGTGGCACGGTCTCATTCAATCTGTTTGCGCGAGAAGCGCGAAGTCAGTCCTGCAGGTGTTGGCGTTTGATTCTGCTTTTGCAACATCCGGGCGTTTCTGGCTCGAGAATGTCTGGACTGGATATGCCGTTCTTATGACGTTTATACTTTTTTGCTGAAGGATATTCACAGGCTGGCTTCTTAACAACCAGGACCCAGGACTTTGGCTCAGCATGGCATTTCTTCCCAAATTTTAGGATATGAGGCCCGAGGGACCTTCTGTACCGCTGGTTCAAGTACTAACTTTATATACCAAACCCCTGTATTGCCCCTCTCTCGCGATCTCGCCTCCCAGAGCGCGACCAGGCTGGACTGGCTCCGCCAAGGACTTCATCGCCGCCGGCGACGGAGTGCTCAAGCGCTTGCGTCATCACATGAAAGACGGCATGCACCTCTATGCCGCTCGGCGTGAAGAGTGTGTTGCAATGTTGTTTTTTTTTTCTGCGGGGGGTTATATGATATCTGTAGAACTGTAGAACTGTTGATTAGTAAAAACCTCCCTACCAGAATGGTTTGTCATCTCCATTGAATGAGTGATGAGTGGTTTATGAATCAACGGTCTACCTGAAGGGAAGGGACGTGGCATTTGGCCAGCAACGGCTGAGTGAAGCTGGAGATCTGGAGAAAAGATGCTGTTTGGACTTTTAACATGTATATACCCTGGGGCTCCTGTCCCATCTCCTCAGGTTCGGTGGTTAGACCCCCCTGGCACCCCAACCATCTCAGAAGGTGGTTGGAGCTCTAGGGATAAATCATAAATCATGAAGAATACCTTTGGGTCGTCTCTTCCCAAAAGACGGTGTCTTTGTGTGACAAGGTGGGACATCAAACGAATTCGAAGGGAGTCTTTGCTGGGGTCCCTTTCAAACGGTGTCTTTCCGCATCCATCTTGGATTTTAGAGCACTTGAGCCGGCACTGGTTCGATCTCGGTGCTTTTTCAGTGAAAAAGTGCGGCAAACATTTACACTGCCTGAAATCATCATGGAAGTGGATGGCATGGCCCCAGGAAAGACAATTCTCAGAATACCAAACAGGTGGTTCTCCACTTCGATTATTCTCTCAGGGAGTGTAGACTGTCAAGGCAATGGGCGGAAGCTGGACCAGGTAGCTGTTAGCTGGTGATGGATGGGTGAAAAACACCTGTTGTCGTTGTTTTTTTTCTCTGGGAGGATCTATGCGGACGAACAAGCCTGCATGCACAGCGCCATCGAGGGTCTCTGAATCAACTTCTCCACTTTTAGGCTTAACGGGGCCCCGTTTACGGTGCGTGACCAGTTTCCAAAACCAGGAGCAGATCGACAAGCACTCCGGCGAACAGTGGAATGCCAAGGACTTCGACGCATGCCCGACGAATCGCAGGGAGACGTTTGTGGAGGAAGCGAAAGTGGAAGTTGGTGGAATGCAAGACTAGAAGCTCTTGAGGTGCCCCAAGGGAAGAGCACACTTAACTGTGTTTGCAACCCCACAGTTCATGAAAGATCCATGTTCGTTGGGAGACTTTTGGGGGGGTCACATCTAGCATATGAAGCACACCGGTTGGTTGGTTGTGTCCTGGACCAGAGGCCACGGTGGGCGTGTCGTGATGTGTTTTCTCATTTGGAAAGATCCGGGCACAGAAGGTTTTCCCTCGACAATCCTCGATACCTCTCTTTTGTTTGAGAATGTTGGCCGAGTATGCCAGATATATGATGTATGGGAAGTGCCTGAAACACCACAGATTCTGGACATGTAATTCACAAATCGTGGAGGTTGCCTGGGTGTGTATATACAAATATAGTGTAAACTAATATAATGTATATATATAAATACATACACCTTCATTAGTACTTGAGAGTGCATGAGGGCAGGCTTCATGAGCTTCGCTAGTTGAGGACAGTTTGGCTGCCCTAGACAATCAGAATCCCAGTGCAGCATTTTAGTTTTCTATTTGTATTTCACAAATCCTACCGCTCTCCCACTTCAAGTTCCCAACCTGCGCTTCTCCATCATCAGTTGATCCAAAGTACACAAGTTAGAGCACACGGCACATGTCCTCATAAGATCTAGAAGGTTGAATCCAGCACTTCTCGATGCCTGATAAAGAGTGCGCAAACGCAGGACCTCACCTGGAGCTATGCTGAGGTCTTGGGTGCTATGCAGTCCCGGCGCAAGGCATTGAAGCTTTGCGGAGGAACTTCCGGCTCGTGCCATTAGACTCTCTATGAATCTCTGGTGACGCGGGTTTTTGCCGTAGGGAAGCTAGAGCAGATAAATGATGTTTTCTCGTGGCGGATCGTTTTTCCCGAATGCGTAGCGAAGGGTTCTCGTTTAACTCTTTGGGGGTCTGGGGGTAGAGCCTTGTTCGCGACCCGTTGTGTCTATGTTCGCAACCGTCCGCAACCGTTCGCAACCGTTCGCAACCGTCCGCAACCGTTCGCAACCGTCCGCAACCGTTCGCGGTAGAGCGCTAAGGCGCTGCCATTGGGGGAAGCTTTTGCAAGTGACTATGCATGGATGTGTCACGTGTTAGTTTGCGACGCGAGTCCATTGTGATTTGCGTGAAAAGGACATGTCGCGCAAGAAGCGTGATGCATTTCGCTGCACAGGCGCAGCGTTTTGTGAGATCCACAGTTTGCTACGCAGTTCCATTGGGATTAGCGTTTGGAGAGTCGTGTCTTTGGGGTGTTGGATGTGGCCGTGCCATTGGGATTTGCGTTTCAGGGTGTGGCATCGAAGCTCTGTTTTCGTGACAAGTCTCAGCTGAAACGCCGATTTTGGACTCTGGGAGTGTGCTCAGAACGGGTCGAAATCATTCCAAACGTGTGGTGTGGTGCAAATTTTGTTGAAGCTCACATGAGATGACATTGTTACTTTTCGTGGCAGGCGCAGGACTTTGTGCGGGCTTTGAGGCGTGGAAGTGCGATTCTCGTGGCAGGCGCAGGGAATCGTGAGGTTGCGAGGTGTGACGGAGGTGACATTTCGTGGCAGGCGCAGTACTTTGTGCGCGTTAGACGTGTGGACGCGGAAAGATTCGTGGCAGGTGCAGGGAATCGTGAGGTTGTGAGTTGTGGTATAAGGTGAATGTCGCTGTCACATTGGGATTGGCGCGTGAGCGGATGTTGTTTGGAGGGGCTGGAATCGCGAAACTGCTTGGCAGGGCTGCGTGATGTGTGTGCTCCGATGGGTGCTTCCACTTGACTTTTGGAGGAAGTCTCGTACGAAACGCTCGTTTTGCAGACTTTGACGTGTGAGTTTTTGAGGACGTCTCGTACGAAACGCTCGTTTTGGAGACTTGACGTGTGACTTTTTGAGGAAGTCTCGTACGAAACGCTCGTTTTGGAGACTTGACATGTGACTTTTTTGGAGGAAGTCTCATACGAAATGCTTGTTTGAGACTTGACGTGTGACTTTTGGAGGACGTCTCGTACGAAATGCTCGTTTTTGAAACTTGACGCGTAACTTTTGGAGGAAGTCTCGTACGAAACGCTCGTCTTGCAGCCTCGCAGCATGACTTTTGGAGGAAGTCTCGTACGAAGAGTGTGCCCTACAAGAGTGTCCCACAAGAGTGTCCTACAAGAGTGTCCGAAGAGTGTGCCCTACAAGAGTGTCCCACAAGAGTGTCCTACAAGAGTGTCCCACAAGAGTGTCCTACAAGAGTCCCCTACAAGTGTCCCGCAAGAGTGTCCTACACGAGTGTCCCACAAGAGTGTCCTACAAGAGTATCCCACAAGAGTTTCCT